GTGCGTGGGTGCGTGGGTGCGTGGGTGCGTGGGTGCGTGGGTGCGTGGGTGCGTTGGTGCGTGGTGTGCGTGGGTGCGTGGGTGCGTGGGTGCGTGGGTGCGTGGGTGCGTGGGTGCGTGGGTGCGTGGGTGTGGGTGTGGGTGTGTGTGTGTGTGTGTGTGTGTGTGTGTGTGTGTGTGTGTGTGTGTGTGTGTGTGTGTGTGTGTGTGTGTGTGTGTGTGTGTGTGTGTGTGTGCGGCTGTCTTTAGGCATAGCTTTGCGGCTGGAATGGGTGATGGAGCGTAGGGAGGGGGCGCGGGGGGATTCACGCCCCCCTACCCGCGACGACGCTTCCCTGATCATCTCATTTGTCGGTCACCTACGACCCAGGCAGAGAGACACCAGTGTCACAGGGACGTATACGCAAAGCTAAGCTTTAGGTCCACAGCCTTGTCGTTCCGATTCTTTGCCAGGGGCCATTTTCAAGCAGTGACGATGCGTCTTGGCTATGAATGTTCTAGCAACCTGCAGTGGTTTGTGCGAAGCGTTCACAGGACATGTCTGACTGAGACAGTCCTGTTTCAATACGTCGTTATTTTTTTGAGGCCAAATCATGTGGTTTGTACAACGCGTGCTTTGAGAAGTTCTCTGGTTGAGTCAGTATTGTTGAAGCACGTCGGTTTTAGGTACGGACTTCGCACTCAGAAGGTCTGCTGGCTCTGCCAGCAAGTCGTGGCAGGCCTACCCGAACGACAGCACGACCGGTCCCTGCTGCTCGACATTTCAACTTTGAGTTTCTTGCATGGTCGCAGCAGACGGCGGGTTTGTTGTGCATATTGTTCTCTTCTTCGCGCGCAGGCAAGGCTTACCAGTTTGAAACTTATCCCGATCCTTGTGTTTGGCATCACCTCACCTCGATGCCGATCTTAAGGATTCCCTTAGTTTCTGAGGGCACATCCCTAAGATTGTCCTCGCTTTTTGCTCGCCCATCTTCGGTATAGGGATAAGTTCGAGGCTGGTTAAAGGCTGAAACGCAGCGTAACGGAGCAAGGTTGCCGTGAGTATTGTTGACGCCTTGTCTTTTCTTTCCTGGAGGCTTGCCGTGTGTGTGTGTGTGTGCGTGTGTGTCTGTGGCTTTAGCTCGAGCGCAGGACACGATGCCCCAGCCAAAACAATGTTGCTGCTCTGCTGTTCCGCCAGCCGCGACAGTGTCGTAATGTTGCAGCGCTCTGGTATCTCACATCAGGTTTCAGCTGCGGGTTGGAGGGTTGACCGTCGCCATTCCTACACGTTCTAGGTTCAATATTGCTCCAGGGCTTCTGATCTCCCGATGTCTCTTCTGCTGTATCCCAACCACCATCGGGCTTGGATGCCCCAGCGTCTCTCCAGATGCCCCAGCTCCCCTTCATCTTGTATACATGTCGAGTCGTGCCGGACCCCTGGTCAAAGCCTTCGTCCAGGGTTGATCAGCCCCTGCGTGCTGCTGCCTTCTGCCCTCCCTCGTGTTCTGCCTCTGTCGCGAACGTGCTGGTCTCCGCCAACCTCTGCCTGCGCCGCCGGGCTGCCCGTCAGGCGCGGAAGGGGGGGAGCACCAACAAGGAGAAGAAGCGCAACAAGCCGCAGTTGATGATGATAAAGAGTCGCCAAGTGCAGACAAAAAAGGCCGCCTCGCGCCCCTCGATTCTGACCTTTGGATATGGGGGGCCACCGCAGGAAGAGTGTCTCGCAGGGAGGGTCAACGATGTATGAGAGGTATCTGGTAAGGGGTCGCACGCATGCGCATGTACACGCGGGTGTATATGTATATACATAGTTTATACGTGTAGTGTATATATATATATATATACATACGCGTGCTCATTATTTGTACGTGTCTGCAGATGTGGGACCATACGCATGTGTGTTTCCAGCGTGAACACCAAATAGTAGATCATTGCGCTGCTGATGTGCGCTATGTGTAGTGCAATCGGTGCAACCTCTGCGGTACGAAACATGCGGTGCAACCTATGTAGTGCAGCCTACGCGGTGCAGTCTGTGCACTGCAGTATTGGTGCAATACATGTGGCGTGAGTTATTTCTTGTGGTGGAACGAGGTAGATACAGTTGACGTGAAGATCGGAAGTGGTCAACTCCAGCAGCCCACCCACCCACCGTGACTTCTAGGAACAGTCACCAGTCCACGATTGCAATTACGTGTCAGGATTTGTTTGCAGAGCAGCCAGCGCAGATACCTACTATATGGGAAGACTAACGTGCAGATACCTGGCAGACTTTGCGATGATAAAGACATTGTTTTCTGTCGCTGTTGAAGCGCTCTACCTGCGGGGCCCCAATATATGCACCACCAGGCGGCCATGAGGAAATAACAAAATCCTGCGCGCGACTGCCCTGACAGGGGAGCCACTGCCTGCCCCCGCCAAGCACAAGTACTTGCCACGTGGTCATGCGCGCAGATGGCGGCCACATTTGGTCGCGAATCGTTGCTCCCAGGCACCCTATGGCAGCGCGGTGGTGGTGTACAAACACGATGGACCCCCCGGGAATTTTATACACCACCCCGAAGTATACACCACGTGAATGTGTTTTTTTTTGCGCATGCAACCGCGTGCCCAAACGACGCTGCACACGCGACATGGTACCACCGCGAGATTTGACGCACCCTGCAACCCACCGCCGATACAAGAATCCGATCAATCCCCATGGTGGGCGTTTTTTTATTCATTGTTTTTCCAATCGGCGCCGGCCCTCGCACCGCCCCTCCCCCCCCCCCCTCCCAGAGTGTGTCTTGGATGTTTTTTGCGCCTTTTTCGATTCGGTGGGGCCCCTCCCCCATCGGCCGCACTGTTCCAAACAGTCGCGCTAAGCAGAGGTCCGGAGCCAAACCACCCCCCCTCCCCTCCCACAATACCCCCCCCCTCCCCCCCCCCCGCTTCCCTCCAATGTCGAAGCACCTGATAAAAAAGCGATCGCATGACAGAAAACAGGCCCGCGGTGGTGATGTATATGCGTGGGTCCCGGACTACCTTTCTTCGAACAACCATGGTCTTGCAAGGATTTTGACACGCGCGCGTTGCGGCGCGCGCGCGCGTTGCCCGCATGGTGCTTCTTGGTGCGATGTCGTGCACGGGTCGCATGCCAGGCCAAGGCAGATGCTTCTCATGGTGCGGTGAGAATGTGCGTTATGGGCGCAATTGCTAAACTCTCGTTGTTTTCCTGTGATCTCAACAAGTTCGCGCGGCCAGGACAGTTTCAATGTTCGTGGTGACGGAACTGACGGTTTGTTTTTATGCTGTTGTTCTGAAGCGCGTGCAATGTGACTTGAATGGTTTCGAAACGTGCCCGCGCGTGTGGACTGTGCAATTTTTTGTAGGGGTTAACCGAATATGATCGTTTGATCCGACCGAGTGGGCGCGAATAGTATTATTTGACCTGTGCGAGGGGGGGGGCGATGCCTGGATGGGCTGGATTGGTGAAAGTTCAGATCAGACGGAAAATTTCCAATGAAGCAGAATCATATGTAAATTTCTGTGGTTTAGGGGGCCCCCGATAAGTCCGGGCTTCGAAGGAGGGTGGGCCTTATTATTCGTTTGACCGGAGAGTTGATATGGACCGTCTTTACGTCGTCAATTGCATTGCTCGCGCAAACATCTCACCCACTGTTCCGAAGTTTGTTGGCAATACCCTGATTTGCGACAATGACGATGACGATTTCGCAGGTGATGTTGATGACGATGGTGAGGGCGATGCCGACGACGACGATGGTGAGGGTGATGGAGCCGATGGTGATGAATCCGACGAGGCAGCAATGCTGGCGATGATACTGGTAACGATGGTGCTGGCGATGATGATGACCAAGTTCCCGCGTGTGGAACCTTGACGAGGGCGACGACATCGACATTGACGCTGTGTTGTGGTGGTGGTGATCCCAGCGATAGTGATGATGATGATGAGGATGATGAGGATGATGATGATGAGGAGGAGGATGATGATGATGGTGATGTCGACGACGGCAATGTTGATGTTGAAGATGTTGAGAGCGATTGGTCTGATAAACATCGTGGCATAGTTTCATATTTACAGCCATTGTTTTTGTCCGCTGTTCTTGAACACCTCTATGCTACATTCGTGATTTCGACGTGCGCGCGCTGTAGTATTTGAACAGAGGCGTGTCGAAATTATTGACACACCAGTTTGTTCCTGACGGCTTTTGGCGTGTGCGCGCGGCGGCGCGCGCTTGTGCCCCGCACTGCGTTTCTGAGATGGGTTCTCAGTATACGCTTTTCTTATACCAATTCAAGCGCACCACTTGACATTCTTTGACAGAGATGACAGGGGGTGGATACTGGGATGGCCTGGGATGGAGTGATCCCTTATGGGCATGAGCGATGGGGCATACCCGTATTTGAATGGCTTTGCGAACAGGTGTACCGATGACCCCAGCCTCGAGAAGGGGGGAGAGGCTATCACTTGCTCAGGAACCAGAATGTGTCAAGTGCACTCTGTGTGGTGCAGCGACTGCTATGTTGGGCAGGCCATGTGGTGCACGCTGCCTGGTGCAATCCGTGTCGTGCGAACGACCGCCAGCGCACAGCCGGAGACCTGGACCACGCCCGCCAGCGCACGAGGTGCACACGAGGCGCCCAAGGGGTGGGCAGTGGCGGAATCTGGAAGACAGCTGGTTTCTTGGAGCCGAGCAAGGGCCTCGGAGTGGAACCACCGTTTGGGGACGTGCTTGTGTTTGTGTATGTGTGTTTTGATATATGCGTATGCACGTATGCACGGAGAGTTGGTGTGAGAGAGAGAGAGAAAGAAAATAACAAAACAAAGAGAGAGAGAGAGAAAGAGGAGCAGAGAGAGAGAGATAGAGGGAGGGAACGAGGGAGAAAGAGAGAGCGAGAGAGAGTAGGCGAGCTGGAGGAGAGAGAGAGAGGTGTATAATGAGAGTGGCTTTCGGCCCGCCTCTCTCCCCTTTCCCTCCTCCTCTCCCCTCCTCGTCGCCCCCATTTGCTCACGTCCCTGCTTCCACCTTCCCTTCCCCCCTCTCTCTCTTCCCTACATGGCCCTCCCGCCTTCCCTTCCCCGCCCACTTTCCTTGCTGCAGCGAGATCGGTTTCCCGCAGGCGCAGACTGCCAAGCAGAAGCTGGGCAACCTGCGGAAACACATCAGGCGTCGCCCCCAGCCCTCCCCTCTCTGCAGGCAAGACGCCGAGACGAGGCAAAGGTTGGGCTGCGAGGGAGGCTCGATGCTCCTTGGATCCTTCCAGGGCTGCTCCTCGGGCGGTCCTCGTGCACGCTAGCGCTTGTGGGGCCAACAAGGGGTTGCGTTCCTTATCTATAGTGGGGGGCCCATGCCAAGGAGCACCCTACTTGCCTCCAGGGTGCCCTTGGTTCCTTTTGGTTTCGATGGTTTTACTGTGGAAAGCGTGACGCTCCCACACCAACAATCAATGGACGTCCTGGGGTGTCAGGGGTGCTTTTTTTGTGAAAGGTTCCTTGTGGACTGGCCCCCTGCTGTAGTGTTCCTTATGTCGGCGGCCCGACTGCATCTCCCTGTCGTTCCCTGCTCCTCCTCCTCTTTCCCCCCCCCCCCCCGGCTTGGGGCTGCGCCGCGCCCCGCCGCCCTGGAGCTGGCGGCCCCCTGGCCACGCGAGTTGCCGCGGGATGCGTGCCCCTCCTGCTCCTCCTCCTTCAGCCTCATTCAGCCTCCTCCCTCCTCACTTCCTCCTTCCTCCTTCCTCCTTGCTCTTGCTCCTTGCTCCTCTCCCACTCCTCCTTCCTCACTCCTCCTTCCTCCTTCCTTCTTTCTCCTCCTTCCTTCTTTCTCCTCCTTCCTGCTTCCTGCTTCCTCCTTCCTCTCCTTCGTCTCTCTTCGTCTTTTTATTGCAGCCCTGGCGACGGTCGCGAAACTCTCGATGTTCAGAGCCTTGCGTGGCCGTGCGGTTACCCGCTCGCGCTCCACACGTGCTCGTTGCCTCCGCCCGCCACCCCTCCCTCCTCCTCCTCCTCCTCCTCCTCCTCCTCCTCCTCCCTCCCCCTCCTCCTCCTCTTCCTGGTCCTCTTCCGCCCCCCTCCTCCTCCTCCTCCTCCCTCCCTCCTCCTCCTCCTTCCTCCTCCTCTTCTCCACCTGCTCCCTTCCTCCTCCCTTCCTTCTCCTCCTCCCCCTTCTCCCTTCCTTCTCCCTTCCTTCTCCCTTCCTCGTCCTCCTCCTCCCTTCCTCCTCCCTTCCTTCTCCTCCTCGTCCTCCTCCCTTCCTTCTCCCTTCCTCCTCGTCCCCTCGTCCTCCTCCTCCTGCTCCCTCTGGGAGGAGGGTATAAAATAGTACCCTTACAGCTACCCCTGCCTCGTTGTCCCCGTTTTGGGCTCCTTGGGAAGCCCTCGTCGCCACCGCTGGGTTCGCCTCGAAACTCTGGTCAGAACGCCCCCAGAGAGGTCCGGGGAGTAGCGGCATCGGTACCTTCCGGTTTCCCCACCCTCCGTCCTCCCCTCCCCCTCTCCGCCTTTTTCCTCCTGGTCCTCTTCTGCCTCCCTGCTCCTCTCGTCCTTGGAGTATGTGCTGGCGTGGCCTTCTCCTTTAAGAGGTTCGCCCCGTAGCTATTCGTGGCGCCGCAGTTGCCCCTGCTCGGGAGTCACAGTTAGTCGGCCCGGATTAGCAGGTCGACCCTGCCAAAGTAATCTGGAGGTAGGAAAGGGGCTGGAGGTGAGGGGGTGAGATCGAAGTGGACCGGAGAGCCCTCCTACCGGGAAATCGGTTTCGGTTTCGTGTTCGTGCGTGCCGTGCGTGCGGGCGAGGCGAAGCTGCGTTGGCGGGCGAGAAATAAACCTCCTGTGGCTGAGGCGCGGCCGGACCAAAAGTCTCCCTTCCGGCAACCGGTGGCCCGCGGTGTCCCGCCGGTGTCCCGGGCGAGAAATAAACCTCCTGTAGCTGAGGCGCGGCCGGACCAAAAGTCTCCGTTCTGGCAACCAGTGCCCCGCGATGTCCCGCCGGTGTCCCGCTCGGGGGCCGGTGGCGCGCGGTGTCCCGCCAGTGTCCCGATGATGATGATGATGATGATGATGATGATGATGATGATGATGATGATGATGATGATGATGATGATGATGATGATGATGATGATGATGATAATGATGATGAAAACGATGACGATGATGATGATGATGACGATGATGATGATGATTCTGCTGATGATGGTGACGATGATGATGATGATGATGATGATGGTGGTGGTGATGATTATGGTTCTTCGATGATGATGATGATGTTGATGATGATGCTGTTGCTGATGATGATGTTGATGGTGGCCCGATGACGATGATGTTAATGATCCTGGTGATGTTGATGATGATCAGATGATCTGATGATGATTATGCTGATGCAGATGATGATGATGATGATGGTGTCCCGATGATGGTGATGAGGTTGATGATGATTATGTTGATGATGATGTTGATGCTGATGATGGTGCCCCGATGATGATGAGGATACTGATGATGATGACGATTATGGTGCCCCGATGGTGATGATGATGTTGATGATGAGTATGTTGAGGAGGTGATATGATGATTTTGATGTCGGTGGTCCAATGATGCTGATGGTGATGATGATGGTGTCCCGATGATGTTGATGATGCTGATGTGATGATGATGATGGTGACGATGATGGTGTTCCGATGATGGTGATGTTGATGATGCTGCTGGTGCTAGTGATGATGATGATGATGATGATGATGATGATGTGGTGTCCCGATGGTGATGCTGATGTTTATGATGTTGTTCGTGATCATGCCGATGAGATGATGATGGCGATGATGGTGGTGTTCCGATGATGATGATGAGAGTGTCCCAGTGATGATGATGTTGATGATAATGATGATGGTGACGATGATGGTGTCCCGATGATGATGGTGATGATTGTGATGATGATGATGATGTTGATGATGATGGTGATGAGATGATGATGATGATGATGATGATGATGATGGATTCTGATGATACTGATGGTGATCATGTTGACGACGTTGATGACGACGATGTTGATGATGGTGATGACATTGATTGTGATATCGATTGTGGTATCGATAGTGGGATCGATAGTTAGGCCGAATGTGAGACCGCTTGTGAGATCGATAGTGAGATCGATTGTGATATCGATCGAATGAACTAGATCGATCGAGATCGATTGTGAGATCGATCGAGTGAGATCGATCGAGCGAGACCGATAGTGAGATCGATAGTGAGATCGATAGTGAGACCGATCGAGTGAGACGTTGGTTCCTTCCCCCCCGAACCTCCTTATCACCCGAAGGGTGGTCGTATAGGTATGGTATACAAGCGGTGTGGTGCTATTGTTTTTGTAAAGGGGGCTCTGGCGATGTTATTCCTCGCAGATAGCATCGCCATTTCCACGATTGGCACAATACCCCTTTATGCCACACCCCTTTCCGACCTCAAGGATTAAGGGTACACTTGTGTCCTGCGTCTCGCGACCCATGCCTCCTACACTCCTGCGGCAGCGTGGCCCTCGGAAGGGTCTTGCGTTCTCTCGCGTGCCCTCTCCAATCGAGTCCCACTGTACTCACACACCCGACGATTGCTTTCCTATCGGAGGTTGATAGACCTCCTACCCTGACATGTCGATTGAGAAATTTGCCGTTTTCGGTTCGCGAGAGGGCGTCGTGGCCGTCATTTCTGCGGGTCCACGTCCGTCGGTTTCAGTCCTGGGCCGTTTTCACTCAAGGGCGGTTTACTAAAGGGAGGCTTGTCCACCGCTGAACGATTGCTTTTCTGTCGCTAGACCCTGGCATGGCCATGCCCTTCCCCTATCGGTTGAACTCGTCAAGATGTTGCATTTGAGCATCATGGCCGTTTTCGAGGCGAACGCTTAGAACTGATTGTCGTCGACGGCCCTGCCCCGTTCTGGCGCTGCAGATATCTACGTGCCCCCCTAACGTGGACTCCCCACCTGACGCCACCGAGTGCCTGGTGACACCGAGCCAGCCCCGCACGGAAAGGGCGTGACACCTGCATTCAGGCGACACGCTTGTCTCTCGGGAGTGGACAGACCTCCTACCCTGACACGTCGATTAGTGAATTGTCCGTTTTCGGTTTTCGAGAGGGCGTCGCGGCCGTTATTTTTGCGGGTCCAGGTCCGTCGGTTTCGGTCCCAGGTCGTTTTTACTAAAGGGAGGTTTACTAAAGGGAGGTTTGTCCACCGCCGAGTCTCGGAATGATGCTTCGACCTTTGCGTGGACCACAGTTTTGATCGAAAATGCTGCTGTCGCTTCGGCGCTCCTGCGACGTCCTCCATTGAGCATGCCGTCGTCGCCTTGGTGCCGGCCACATGTCTGATTGAACATGTTGCTGTCGCCCAGGTGCCATCGTCATCCTTCATTGAGCATGTCGCTTTCGCCTTGGCGCAGGTCACCTCTCTGATTGCAAGTGCTGCTGTCGCTTCGGCTTCGGCGACGTCCTTCATTGAGCATGGCGTTCTCGCCTTGGCGGCGGCCGCATGTCTGATTGAACGTGTTGTTTCCGCCCAGGCGCCGACGTCAGACGCGTTTTTATACCCTCTGTGCCATAACGCGCGTTATGCCCCCCCAGAACGAGACGCTCCCCCCCTCCCCCTCATTTTGCGCCTTCGACACTGCCATTGCGATGCTCGCAGACTGCTGTGGTACTTGTCGTCGATGTTGTCGTCGTCGTTTTCGTCGTCGTCGTCGCTTTCGTCGTCGTCATCGTCGTCCTCGTCCCCGTCCCCGTCCTCGCCCTCGTCCCTGTCGTCGTCCTCGTCCTCTTCGTCCTCGTGAAGGGCGTCTCCCTCGTCCTCGTCGTCGCCGAGGGCCTCGAAGGGCCTTTAGACGCCTACAGAGGTTTCCAGAGACCTTTGACCTCTAGAGACCTTCAGAGCCTTCAGAGGTGGCCGTCGTCCCCGTCGTCGTCCTCGATCTAGTCGTCGTCATCGTCGTCGTCCTCGTCGTCGTCGTCGTCGTCGTCGTCCTCGTCCCCGTTCCCGTCGTCGTTGTCGTCGTCCCCGTCCTCGTCCTCGCCGTCCTCGTGCTCGTCCTCCTCGTCGTCCCCGTCCTCGTCCTCGTCGTCGTCGCCGAGGGCCTCCGAAGGCTCTCCGGGCGCCTCCGCAGGCCTCCGGAGGCCTCCGGAGGAGTCCGGCGTCTC